AGTTTTTCTGTTACTGAGAGACTTGTGTTTATCACTTGCTTCCTGGAACTGATTTTCCTTGAATCAGGAGACAGGTGTGGTCCTATTCAGCCACAACTACTTTGAGAAGTTTTGGCTTTTATTCTAGCTTCACTTGGCATATGCACAACTAAAACATAGACCAATGCTTGGCATGTGACTCTTGCTGAATTCTGACTGTATGGAATGGAAAACTAAAAGTGCTTTATAAAGAATATTTAGTATTCTGCTAAAGCACATAGGAATTAGGTTTTAGACAGCCTGGTAAGATGTTGAGCAAATAACCAACAGTTTCAATTATCAGTGGTAATCTCTAGTGAAGTACCTAAGGCTTGTCGTCACGACAGGATTACATTCAATAAATAGAAGAACTTTCATGAAGTTTTCTGTGTTTTCTGATGAATTTGGATTACTGAGTGCTGTTTCCTCATAGATATTGATAACTTTCTCTTTAATACTATCCTTGATCAATGCTTCTCAAGTTACTCATGTGCAAGAATGCTATTTATTTATTATTTATTTAGAGTTTTTATAACCCGGTCTTCTCGACCTCCGAGGTGGGACTCAGGCCGACTAACAACATAAGATTCAATACAATAAGAAAAACATTATAAARCATCAATATAAAATACATTAAAATACAATTTATACAATTCATACAAGTTACAGCAAAAATCAGTTCYTCAAAAAGAATCACAAATTCATCGCCATCRGCCAGAAAGGTCAGCAGTTATTGACTCAGTCATCATTCTGCAAATACAGTATCCAAAAACTATTTTTTTTACCAGCTTTCTAAARGTCAGGCGGGAAGAGGCAGATCTAATCTCCATCGGGAGGGAGTTCCAAAGCCGAGGGGCCACCACCGAAAAGGCCCTGTCCCTCGTCCCCACCAAACGCGATTGCYAAGGCGGTGGGACCGAGAGCAGGGCCCCTCCAGAAGATCTTAACAACCTTGATGGTTCATAGGGGAGAATCCGTTCYGATAGGTAAACTGGCCCAGAGCCATTTAGGGATTTATAGGTCAACACCAGCACTTTGAATTGTGCTCGGAAGCTGATTGGCAGCCAGTAGAGCTGGCGCAACAGATGAGTAGTATGCTCCCTGTACCCCGCTCCCGTTAGTAATCTGGCTGCCGCTCTGCTAGGATTTTTCTCCCCATGTGCCAGGGACTGGCACTCCATATCTCCATATATGCTTTCCTGGAAATTTTCTGCAGAATAGCAGCCAACACTGGCCTATAAAATGCTTCAGCGGTGCCTTAACATAGGGTATATTTGACTTATTGATTCCAAAAATGACATCAGTTTTCCCCTATCAGCTCTAGTTTTTGAGATCCCGAACACATGCCATCTACTAGTTGCAATTTGCTCACTCATAGGAAACCATGATAATCATATCTAAGAAACTGGAGCTGATGCGGTCTATCCAATATAATTTTCTCAATCTGCGTCCCAAATAACTGCAGGAACAAGCCTAAAAAAATGACATGGGTTGTGTTATGTTTTGTTGCATGTGTCTGACTTTTATATAAATGTAACAAGATTCCTACATTGTAGGTAGGAAGGGCACAAATATCCATTCCAACAATACAGGATTTAAGATGACAAAGTGGGGACTTTTTCCTAAAAAAAAAAAAAAAATTAGTAGGAATAAAGCCACAGAGGGATGTCATGTTCTAAATGAGATTCCCAAGTTTTCAATAAATTCATGGCTACAGTGGGTTGGAACATCCACCCTGGGAACCTAAGATTATTGTGCCCACAGGGTTCCTTCAAGCTATACAGAAGAAGAAAAACAATTGTTGCAAGGGATTTTGAAATTACTGAACACATGCAGGTTTTTCAGCATCTCCGAGCTTCAGCTCATGAGAACTTGGAACATATTTTTGGCCAGCTTCGCTTTGCTGGTTTAGATGCAAACCCACGTGGCCACAAGAAATGTGGCAAAAGGAAATGGGCACTGAGGAGCCGTTGTGAGAGTTACACTCAACAAAAGTGTGTGGGTGTCCAAATAGTGGGGAAAGCCAGAAAATAATATTTCAGACAACTCAAAGAGGGAAAAAGAAAGATGTTAAAAGTCTACAAGAAGTTACATATCTATTCTAAGTGTTCCTTACTCTGGAGATGATGGTTAAGGCTGAAGTGTGCAAACTGTGGCCTCTCAAGATTGTATTTGTGACCCCAGATTGCCAGTTATCTGGACAAAAACAGGTGGATGATCTCTCCTGGAAGACACCAAGAGCAACTCTCTGCAGTGTAATGTTTTTCTAGTAAAAGAAATTTCTATTCTTCAGGACTGAAAGTGGAGCTTTAGGCCCGTTTGGCTTTGGTTCTCCCCCCCGCCCCGCCGCCCTATTTTTGAGTCATTTTGAGCTTTTTCTGAGGTCCCTGAAAAAAATTGGCCTCCCCCAAGAAAGTTCACACAGTTGACAAAACTGTAGGCACCCACCATCTATGTGAGTAAACGACAAGGGAAGGAGAGACTGAGAAAAGTGCTGACTTTGAATGTTGGAAGGTGGGCTATTTAAAGTTCGGGTCAAGTTAAATAAGGATGCGAGACACTGAGTCTTGATCACCCTTTCAGCCACCCAAACACACAGGCTCTGCTTATTCTTACATGAATAGCTTCTTGAGTTGACTCACTGGTGCTGAGTTTTTGTGCGCGATGAGATTGTGTGGCTTGTTCCTGCATCAACATGCCCTGGGAAAAAGCCAAATAATTTTCATACCTGCCTGCTCTTTATCACATCTCGGTAAACACAGCCAGGGAACAAAAAGTCAAGGTCAGGGGAGGCAGCGAGCAAGACACGGGGGCAGGAGTGTGTTGGAGGTCAGGCTGTGGCCAAGAGCTGTTTGGCAGGTAGGAGCAGGCGAGGCTTTCATGGCAGTGGAATGACTCCTCCTTCACTCTGATGCCAAAAATATAATCTTGTTTAGAGAATCAGGAACTAAGGTTTCAAATACACCATCCTACAGACTTTCTTATTCGGCAACAACAACACCCGGAAGATCTGGATAATACCCTGCCTTTTTACAATGATAAAAAATCTATATAAATAAAAATGTAATCTTCATTTGTGGGATCAACACAACTCAAAAACCACTGGACGAATTGACACCAATTTGGACACAAGATACCTCTCAGGCCAACGAATGACCATCACTCATAAAAACACTGGAAAACACTGCGCAAGAGACTTTAAAAGCCAAAAATAAAAAATAAATACATTACACTTTCTCAGATACCCTGTCATTTGGTGACTTTTGCAATTCCCAGTTCTGGAAGTGTACACGTCCCTTCAGATTTCTCTGACAATAAACTTGTCGTTTGCACTGAGAAGTATTTGTTTAGAATCTGTTCTGAAACAGTGTTGGAAGTGTGTCCTGAAGATTGAACTTGACCCTAAACCCCAAAGCTCCCAGTTGAATTCGCAGACAATGTATATTTGTCACCAAAATATAACAGCTTGGTAGTCTCTGTGGTTCCTACCCTTCCAGGCCAAAACAGGCTAGAAAAATCAACCTAAGCAAAGGTGATGTGATTCTCTTGGGTCACTCAAAATTGAATTCTGCTCAGTTGCTCACTTCTGAGATGAACCACAGTCTTCTAGAAGTTTAACCCTTGCTTCATGGTGCACTCTTCCAAAATTCCTCCTATTGGAGGAGGCACTTCTTTAAATTATTATTGGCTAAAGCCATTAAGACAGTGTTTCTCAACTTTCCTAATACTGCGACCCCTCAATACAGTTCCTCATGTTTTGGTGACTCCCAACTATAACATTATTTTCATTGCTACTTCAAAACTGTAATTTTGCTACTGTTATGAACCGTAACGTAAATATCTGATATGCAGGTTGTGTTTTCATTCACTGGACCAAATTTGGCACAAATACCTGATACGCCCAAATTTGAATACTGGTGAGGTTGGGGAGGGGAGATTAATTTTGTCATTTGGGAGTTGTAGTTGCTGGGATTTATAGTTCACCTACAATCAAAGAGCATTCTGAAATCCACCAATGATGGAATTGAACCAAACTTGGCACACAGAACTCCCATGAGCAACAGAAAATACTGAAAGGGTTTGGTGGGCATTGACCTTGAGTTTTGGAGTTGTAGTTCACCTACATCCAGAGAGCACTGTGGACTCAAACAATGATGGGTCTGGACTAAATTTGACATGAATACTCAATATGCCCAAATGTGAATACTGGTGGAGTTTGGAGAAACTGGAGCTTGACATTTGGAAGTTGTAGTTGCCGAGATTCATACTTCACCTACAATCAGAGAGGATTCTGAGCCCCACCAATGATAGAATTGGGTCAAACTTCCCACACAGAACCCCCATGACCAACAGAAAATACTGTGTTTTCTGATGGTCTTGGCGACCCCTCTGACCCCCCCCCCCCCAGAGGTCCCGACCTCCAGGTTGATAAACACTGCATTAAGCTCTTTAACAGTTGCTGGTGAGGTCCCATCATGGTAAGAAGTCCCACTTCTTAAATACCGGTTTTGTATTAAACTTATTGAAATGTGAATCCCTGTGTAAATTGCAAGATTTAAAATGCAAAATTGAGCTTGCTTGGATTATCAGAGAGGAGGAAACATTTGAGGGTCTGTGGGCCACTATACCATCCCAGAAAATCCCCATTGTGGACAGTACCAGCCATGTCTGATTAACCAAACCTGAAGAAGAAAAGAGGAAGTGGACATAGTTCCATTTCTCAAGTTCTTTATAGGGTTTGTTCAAGGAGTGGAGAAAACCTTTTTACTGACACATCTAGCAGGTTACAAGGCCCATAAACACCTGAAGTATTGGTATAACTCACTGTGAAATAGGTTGTGTAGAAGTGTTAGAAATCCATAATTTCTTCCAACTGCCAACCTTGGCTGTAGTTATTGCTCCTACAGGGCAGAGAGTCTCATCATGGATTTCATTATTAACTTGGTTGGTTTTCTTTTGTGTTCCTTTGCTGTCTTAGGTAGTGGACCCATTCAGCTGTGGCAATTCCTGTTGGAACTTCTCACAGACAAATCCTGCCAGTCTTTCATCAGCTGGACAGGAGATGGCTGGGAATTCAAGCTCTCAGATCCTGATGAGGTATGTATGATCCAAATCAATCTCATTAGTTATTATCATTATCATCTATATAAATAAAAATGTAATGTTCATTTGTGGGATTAACATAACTCAAAAACCACTGGACGAATTGACACCAAATTTGGACACAATACACCTATCAGGCCAACAAGTGACCATCACTCATAAAAACACTGAAAACACAGCAGAAGAGACTTAAAAAGCCAAAACAAAAAATACATTACAACACATGCGCAAAACCACATATGTACACAAACACACATATATACACATATACACAAATATATACAGAAATATATACACACATATATGCACACACAAAACACATACACAGAAAGGGGGAAGGAAGGAAGGAAGGAAGGAAGGAAGGAAGGAAGGAAGGAAGGGAAGGAGGAAGGAGGGAAGGAGAGGGAAGGAAGGGAAGGAAGGAAGGAAGAGGAAGGAAGGAAGGAAGAAGGAAGGTAGAAAGGGAAGAAGAAGAGAAGGGAGGGAGGAGAGAAAAAAGAGAAGGAAGGAGAGAGGGAGAGGAAGAAAGAAAGAGAGGAAGGAAGGAAGGAAGGAAGGAAGGAAGGAAGGAAGGAAGGATGGAACCAAAGAGCAAAGGAAGCGAGAAAAAAACCGTAGAGAAGGAAGAAAGAAGAAGGGAAAGAGGGAAGGAAGGAGAGAAAGAATGGGACAGAGGGAGCGAGAGCCATATAACAGAGCCACTCAATGAAAAATACTTATTTCATTTCAAGTTCTTAAAATCCTCCATTTCTCCCAATAATAAGACACAAAGTAGATATATAAACAATACAGATTAAAACTCTACAAAATCATTAACAAATATATGATGTTATTTTAGACATAAATGAACAAGTTCTGAAGTGAAAAAGTGAAACGAAAAGGCCTTAAAAGCAGCTCTAAGGTGCTCATAAATAATAATAATCATCATCATCATCATCATCATCTTTATTTATACCCCGCCAGCATCTCCCCAAAGGGGACTCGGGGCAGCTTACATGAGGCCAAGCCCAGTAGTGCATTACAACAAAATAAAATCAAGAACACTGAACAAACATCACAATAAAATAAATAAAACGTAAGAATACAATAAAACAATGCAAAAATACAATCACAATGGGCGGGCCACATGAACAAGATAAAATGATGAAAACTCAGGATGAAATAAAAATAAAACAGAAATATTTGTGTGAGAGAAACAGAGTGCTGGAGACATAAATGGAGCTGTGATCCTTCAGATAACTTGGATCCAAGCAATATGGGCTTTAGAGGACAACACCAGCACTTTGAATTATATCTGGAAATGGACTGGCACACAATGGAGCTGCTGCAACAAGGTAGTTGTGTACTCCAGTGAATAACCTGGCTGCTACTCTTTGGACAAACTCATATTTTTGAGCACTTTTCAAAGACAGTTTCACATATGGTGTCCCAAGTCAGAGCGAATCTGAGCAATTTCTGCAAAGTGGTAAGCTAATTCTGCACAACGGGTTGCTGAGTGGTTTACATTTACTTTTGAGACAGACTATTGCAGATCCTGATCACTCAAAACAGCTCTGCTGAACAATTCTGTCTAGATGGAGTAACGTGAGCCAGAAGAGGCTTTTTGCTATCTTGATTGCAAACAAATAACAACAGAACTAATAATAATAATAATAATAATAATAATAATAATCCTTTATTTATACCCCGCTAACATCTCCCAAAGGACTCGGTGCGGCTTTCAAGAGGCCGAGGCCCAACACATCAATAAAACAACAGCATAACAAATACAACAATAAATAAACTCATAAAACAAGCAATAAACATTAGACAATATGACACATTTAAAACTAAGGCTGGGCCAAATGTAATGATTAAAAATTTTAAAATGCTGYGCATGACTGGTGAAATAGATAGGTTTTTGGAGATAAGTGCGATGTGCAGACAATCTTAAATCTCTAGRAAAGTGCATTTGGGACATGATGCTTGGAGTTCCCTATTCTGGGAAGGCACACTGGAACAACCACATCTTCAAGCTCTTKCAAAAGATTGCCAATGTTGGGGCTTGTCTGATGTCCTTGGGGAGAGAGTTACAGAGTCYGGGGGCCACCACGGAGAAGGCCCTGTCCCTCATCCCCACCAATCACGCTTGCGACGCAGGTGGGATCGTGAGCAGGGCCTCTCCAGATGATCGGAGAGATCGTGTGGGTTCATATACGGAGATGCGGTCACGCAGYTAGGCGGGTCCCAAACCGTTTAGGGCTTTGTAGGTAAGCACCTGCACCTTGAATTGGGACCGGAAAATGAACGGCAGCTAAAATAACTATGTTATTTTAAAGTCCATATTATGTGACATAATGGTTGGCCYTGTGTGTTTTTATATTTCCAGGTGGCAAGGAGATGGGGCAAAAGGAAAAACAAGCCAAAAATGAACTATGAYAAGTTGAGCCGTGGATTGCGTTACTACTATGACAAGAACATCATCCACAAGACAGCAGGGAAGCGCTACGTCTACCGTTTTGTGTGTGATTTGCAGAGCTTGCTGGGCTACACTCCTGAGGAGCTCCACGCCATGCTGGATGTGAAGCCAGATGCTGATGAGTGAACGGAAGAAGTCGACTAGAAGAAAAACCTGTATGGGAGAGATTCCTTAGGTCTATCTAAAAATTCTATTGGACAATATGTTTTTGGTGGTCACCATTTCCATTTCAAAAAAAAAATCAGATTGTGAAGGGGCAGGCTGTTAAGCTTTTGAATGAAACTGTGAGATAATGTGTCTGTGAGTAGAAAGAGCAGCTTTTCACATTGGAACGTTCTTGGAAGGCTTTATTCGGTTTTATATTTTAACATTTCGGGAATAAAGATATTTACAGTTAAGTGCCCATTACAAATTATTTAACCAGTTAATTCATGGCTTCCCTTCCATAAACCATAAACTGACAATCCACAAGCTCATAAGGCTCTCTTTTTGTGTGGGGAATGTCCATAACATCCTGTTTTCCAGGGAAGATATAACTGAAATAGCCAAGAACTGTGATCCTTGATAATTTTTCATTTCAGAAAGATAGATTTTCTTTGTTGTTCTTGTTCTCATTGTTATCAGATGGGGACCAAAAAACCTTTTTTAAAATTTGTAAAAAAAAGTTATTTTATTAAATTTTGTGCCAGTATTTTTTAAAATAGTCTTAAGCTCTAAGATGGTTTCAGTATTGCAATATGTGTGTTTGTTTGTTTGCTATACCAGCTGCCAATTTAATTAGCATCGCGGGGAAAGAAGTACAGAGTCTTTGTAGACCCCCCACCAGAAATAGTCAGACTTGACAGCTCCATTAAAAAAAATCAACTGGGGAGAAGGAGACAGAGTTGTAATTGAGTGGCTGTTTTGCTTTAACACTGAGGCTCCTGCACTTTACTCCCTTGTTCTGTCATTATAGCTGGTGGATCTTTCCTGCACCTTTTGGTAATCTTTTGACTAACAATACTTTCCTTGTATTGTCGAAGGCTTTCATGGCTGGAATCACTGGGTTGTTGTAGGTTTTTTCGGGCTGTATGGCCATGGTCTAGAGACCTCACTACCTCTGAGGATGCTTGCCATAGATGCAGGCAAAACGTCAGGAGAGAATGTCTAGACCATGGCCATACAGCCCGAAAACACCTACAACAACCCAATACCATCCTTACAGAATAATTCCCCATTCATTCTCACTTTGATTTAAAGGAAAGACTTTATTCCAACATTCCAATTTCTCATTGCCTAATCCTATGTGCACTCTTCCTGATGTCATGGCCTTGAGGCTCCCATCATTTCCTGTGACTGGGACAGATGGAAGTTGTAGTTCACTAACATCTGGAACACTGCACATTGATAATCCTTGATTGAATTTCATTCTAGTGAGCAAATGCAATCATCCATCATTTATTGTTCATTGGTGCTCCAACTCAAGGACTTACATTCCAGTGTAAAGCCCTACTAGAGGAGCTACACCAAATTGATTTGACCTTGGTAAATCAACTGTTGCATAAATTCTGTTCATTCTAGTTCAGTGGTTCCCAACCTGTGATCCGTGTACTACCAGTGGTCTGCAAGAACAAAAGTATAGTTCGTGGCCTCAGCAATACTACACCGTTGCCTTGAAACCATGTGGCAATGAGAGCAATTGGTCTTGCAAAACCCTCTTATAGTGCCAAGGAAATGGGGACATCAGGAAGAGAGAGGCTGACTACTCACAAAAGATTTCTACTACAACATCAGCTCTAGATTATTAAATGTGGTTTTCTGTGAGTGAGCAGATGGCAACTACTGGATGACATGTTATGTATCTGGAACTAGAGCTGATGTAGTCTATCTAGTGCAATTTTCTGAATTGCACTCCAAATAACCAAATTGAATCTAAAGTTGACCAAAAACCGATTCATAACACTTTTAGTACTAATGTTGGAGTGTGGTCCCTATTCAAGTGGTCCCTGGTCAAAAAAAATTGGGAACTACTGCTCTAGTTGGGCTTAGAATTGAACTGAAGCTGGAAGCACCAATTGGTAACGTTATGCAGCTATACAGAGTAATTATATATGAAAGAATTGATGGCCTAACCCTTTCACCCTTGTAAAAAAAAAGAAGATATAATGTCTTTCTCAGGGCTACTGGAAAAGTTGATTCTGCACCAGGACTTGAAATTAGAACCCCAAACCATTAAGTGCCTGAAATCCAATGTATAAAATCCCACTGCTTGCCAGAGCAGGAAAACAAAACCTTTTGAAAATGTGTCCTCGGAAAATAAGGATAGAAAATGCATCCTCGGAAAGGAAGGATACATTTAGGACTGGAGTCTTAATCCAATGGTCAACCCACTCAGAAAAGGATATATTTTGTTGCTTGCCTTCAAGTCACTCTTGATCTTTAGTGACCCTAGAACAGGGTGTCAAACTCATTTTCACCAAGGGTCACATGACCCTTATGGTTGCCTTCAAAGGCTGTTTGTATTTGTAAGACTGTATACATGTAACTCTGGCACTGAAAGCCTCACAGCCCACATATAATGATGTGGTAGGCCGTATTCGGTCCACGGGCCTTACATTTGACACGTGTGCCCTAGAACCTATCATAGTATTTTCTTGGCAAGGCTAGTTCAGAAAGGATTTGTCTTTGTTGCCTTCTTAGTTGTGTGACTTGTCAAAAGTCAACCAAGAAGTTTCCATGTCTGAGTACAGATTTGAATCCTGGCCTCCCAGAGTCTTAATCTAATGCTCAACCCATGCTGGCTCGCCATTGTAGCATTTTCCTGCTCCAATAGCTTCTAAAGAACACAATAAAAACCCAAGAACATGATACTGAAGTAGACTAAAAGGCATTAATGAATAATGAGGCCATATTCTGGGAATGACCTCTGCCTGTTGAGATCCTAGAAAGGGTATTGCCTCTTAGGAAATCCATTAATGAATTAGATGAGTCAGTGATCTAGTCTGCATATCCTCTGCCTATCTCAGTTTGACCAATTAATCCTCTGTCACCCCAGTTTTTCCACTTTTTAAAAACTTCTCAGGTTTGTTTTCCTTCTCAATGTTTTCCTTCCTCTTCAGCTTACTTCTATTGCTAAAAACTAAGTTCAAACTAAAAAATATTATTATTCATTTTTTTGCTCAACTAACTCAGAGAAGAAGAGGACAGGAGGCGACAAATTCTTGCTTTTCCCACTAGGCTCTAGCAAAAGTAAACTGCTGCAGTTTCTCCTGGCTTGAGTGTTTTTCCTCGTTCATACCTTTTGCCAGCTTGTCCATGCTCTGATGTTGCTCAGGCACAATGTTGGAGGGATTCTACAGCTTTTCTAAATAACTGCATGTCCGTTGAGCTTATAAATATATCCTTCACTCAGAATAAAACCAACTAAGCCGCTGAACTTGCTGACTGAGAGGTTGGCAGTTCGAATCCGGGGAGCGGGGTGAGCTCCCACTGTCAACCTAGCAGTTTGAAAACATACAAATGTGAGTAGATCAATAGATACCGCTTCTGTGGGAAGGTAATGACGCTTGATGCAGTCATGCTGGCCACATGACCTTGGAGGTGTCTATGGACGATGCCGGCTCTTTGGCATAGAAATGGAGATGAACACCACCCCCCAGAGTTGAACACGACTAGACCTTTAATGGTAGAAAACAGCCACAGTGAGGAAGATGCATAGTAATGTCGAAGGCTTTCATGGTCGGAATCACTGGGTTGTTGTAGGTTTTTTCGGGCTATATGGCCATGTTCTAGAGGCATTCTCTCCTGACGTTTCGCCTGCATCTATGGCAAGCATCCTCACTACCTCTGAGGATACTTGCCATAGATGCAGGTGAAATGTCAGGAGAGAATGCCTCTAGAACATGACCATATAGCCCAAAAAACCTACAACAACCCAAGATGCATAGTGTTCTCAGTGTGCCATATATTAGCATTGATTCCTATGGTATGACTAAACAACAACTATCATGACTACTCATGTATAGATGTCTAGATGTCTTGGCTCCTGACTCCACTAAAGTTCTCAAAGTTCCATGGGGTTAGTAGATATCACCATTAAATTACTCTGAATTCTGTGATGTAGAGAAAAATTCTCCAATCTCTTACCTAGTAAATAGAAAATATATTTCAAGAGATCTGAAGAACACTAGCTTGAGGAAGGATGCCACCCAACATAGTTGATTGATAATTTACAGTTAATAGCTTCCATTTGGTTTGACTTGGCTGGCTGAAGAGCTTGGTTTTCCTGGGAGGACGTTAAGTTCAGTATTTCTTGAGAATATATAAAAAGAAGATTTTGAGCTAGGATTATTGATGGTGAGCGGTCTTGGAGCAGAGTAGGATAAAATGGATATGAAACATATGGTTTTGCCACATTTTATTCCACGAGGAAGATGGAAGAATATGATTAAAAGATGAGAACAACAAAAAGCTAGTGTAGAAAAGAAAGGATTACATTCAAGTTTTCAAAATGGATTTCTTTTCTAACATTGTATGCTTCAGCAGTTACAGTACCTAAGAAAAAAAGTAGACATACCCTTGACAAATCCAAAAGAAATATTACCTTTTTCAATTCGAGATTCACTGCAGCCTTTTCATATTCCTGTAGCTGATCATCAAGTGAAAGCAGTGACATGAGAGAAGCCTCCCATAGGATGGTTATACATCTGGGCGTCCCCTGGACAACGTCCCTGTAGACAGCCAATTCTCAAGTTGCACCTAATACATCAAAAAAATAAAGTAAAAACTGATCCAAATTATCTTTGGGTCCTTCAATTTTTCACAGAAATGCTAAAAAGATCTGCTTACCATGCAAACTACCCAAATGCCAACTGGAAGACACAATTTTGGGGAATGTTTGGGATGGAGCTTTCAGGACCTAAAATTGAATTGGTGTCCTGAGTTCATTCCAGGATTTCAGAAAACCTATTGCAAAGTATAGAAATAGCCGAAGTGAAACCAACAAAACAAATCTATTTTCAAGTTTTAAATATTACAAAATCAGAATATATCCCTGTGCTCTGAAATTTTCAGCCAGGATTTTTAAAGGAAGGAACATGCTTTCATTTAACATGAGTCTGCTCAGTGGTTCATTGAATTCAAAGAGACCTACTCTTAGGTAAATTACGACATAGGTCAGAACTAAATTCTTTCTTTTTTAAAAGATTATATTCCCCCCTTCTTTGAAAGAACACGTTCTCCAAAACCAGATATGAAATATTGCCACATTCATTTTTGTTTCTCACTTTCAACATTTTGGTAGCTATGTATTGTCGAAGGCTTTCATGGCCGGAATCACTGGGTTGTAGGTTTTTTCGGGCTGTATGGCCATGGTCTAAAGGCATTCTCTCCTGACGTTTCGCCTGCTTTTTGGTAGCTCATGTGGCTCCTGGCGCTTCCCAGGGAAAAACTGGCCATGAGAGTCACACAATTGTCCCTCCCTGGCAGGTCTAAATGACAAGGTTTGGTCCAAGTGATGCATTGGTGAGCAGATCAGTTTTCACCATACAGAGAAGTACTGGAGACTGCTCCGCTTTTACAAATCTCAATCAAGTTTTGATCCAGATTAATCAAGGTTAACCTTTCAAAAAGTATTCTCAGGGATCTTGAAAAGCAGTAGAGTGTCATCAGTACCTCAGGACACCATTTGTGGCATTGTCCCTTATCAGTGTCTGTGCCTGACTTGCTGCTTGCCTTTGAATGCAATGATGGACAAGCAGCTTTGTCTTTACACTGTGTTCCATCATTGCTTCCGGTTGATGTTCTTCCCATTTACAGAGCACACAACCCAAGTTGGACTGGATCAGTGGTTCTCAAACTCTGGGTCCCCAGATGTTTTGGCCTTCAACTCCCAGAATTCCTAACAGCTGGTAAACTGGCTGGGATTTCTGGGAGTTGTAGGCCAAAACACCTGGGGACTTACAGGTTGAGAATCACTGGACTAGATGAAGGTAGAAAGGACATAATAGATATTCGATGTCAAAATATGTTTTTGCTTTCAAAGTAGGCTTGATGTATCACCACTCATTTGTGCTCCCTTGGTCATAATTTATCCCTTTCTCTCCTAAATGCCTTAAAGTTACCAGATCTCATCAGGGTAATCTCTGGTTCCTTGGAATGGGAGACCGCCAGCGGCGGCTCAACCCATTAGCAAAGTAAGCATTTGCAGTATAGTTGATTTTGCCCAGGGGCGCTCTTGGGGGGAAAACAGACCTTGACATATGCGAGTTGTAGTTACTGGGATGTATAGTTCACCTGCAATCAAAGAGCATTCTGAACTCCACCAATGATGGAATTGAACCAAATATGGCACACAGAACTCCCACAATGAACAGAAAATATATATCAGTGATTGGTGGGGGGGCGGGCAAAATACTGTTTCCTTACCGTTGAAAATTACCTAGGGCTGCCTCTGGAGACCGCCAATGCGTACCAGGGGCTGTAGGCTATATTTCAGAGGCAAAATCACCTCTGTGTATCCCTTACCTAAGAAAACCCTATGAAATTCATGGAGTTGGTTTTTCTGGGAGGACTCGAAGGCACACAGACAACGCAAAGGGCAGAAGAAATATCCCAATGGATGGGGCAATCCCATCTCCCTTCAAGTCCCTGCTTTGGAGTGCAATTGGGAAAATTTGGGGTTTGCATTCCCTTTTCCTGCCTTCTTCCATGATTCCAACTTCAGAAGCCAGTCAATAATCATTTAGTCATTTTATCACCTAATTTCAAATTCTACTTCCTTGCATTTTATTTAAGCAGCGACAATGCTTTCATTATATGACAATCTGCCTTTTATTCTACAACATTCTGAGCTAACTGTTTAGGAATGTGTTGGAGATATCCAGATGGGAGCTAGGAAAACACAAGGAGCAAACCTAGGCTTCCAACTGAATGTACACTGTACTATAACAAATCTCGGCTTTCTTACGACTGTTTTTTTTATATAATATATGTGTTTGTTTCATTCACATGTTGCATTTTAGGTGTATATTTGGAAAAGCCACACCAGTGACAATGTTATGTATCACGCATCCCCGTGTGCAACTTTTCTAATGTCCTAATTTGCCTTATAAAATATTCATGTTTCTACAAAATTGCCAATTTATTTTCTCAGTTCTCTTTCCGTTGGGCTCTCTGCCGGGCCAATGAACTATTGCCTCCATTCCAAAGATTTTGAATCGATGATACCTGATGCATCCATATATGTTAGACAAAAGTATCTCCAGGAATTAACTGCCTCAGTGAAACAAGTTTTTGTTTTAAAAGAAATATATATGAAGTTGTGTTGCTTTTTTTCCTTTTTGG